CGCTTCTCCTCCCATTCCTGAGTCTCTATCCCTACTGGTGCCCCATCCTTAGATAGCCCCCACCCCATCTTTCCGTCCTCGGCACTTCCGTGCAACACACACACACACACACACTTTACCTTCAGTTTGTTCCATTCTAACCCCCCGGCCGTGTCAGTACGATCACAGGAGAGACACGGAGGCCCGGAATGGGGCTGGGGTGCCGACAGCTGCCGGGGCCGCGGGGGGAGGAGACGGAACCAAGCTAGGCCGCATGAAATCCCCGGACTAGATTTCCCCCGCGCCGGACGCCTCTGCCATGGCGGCCGGCACCGAGGACTGCCACGGCCGGACCGGGCCGGGCACGCTGAAGGGAGGAGGAAGGCTGCGGGAGGTGGGTGGGAAGGGGAAGTGGCGGGACAGGGATCGTCGAGCAGCCACTGGTGCCAGAGAGGAGCTGTGGCGGGCGGTCCAACCGGGGCAGCAGGGTCCTCGAGTTCCACTCAGAATTCTCACGCCTGTCCGCAGCGACCTGTGCACAGCCCCCTCGGCCTCCGCCTCCGTGCTGGCCGCTGCCGCCCGCTCCCGCCGCCCGCTCCCGCCGCCGTCGCCGCCGCCGCGCACAAAGCCCCCCCACCCCCGACTCTCGGGGCGCCGCCGCCGCCAAATCCTCAGCCCCTCATTGGCCGCGCGCCGCGGCGCCTGCCGGGAAATGCAGTCCCAGGTTTGGGGTACAGGGGGCGAAAGGAGGAAGAGGCTCGTCAGCCCCGGGAGGAGAGAGGCGGGAGCTAGAACCTGCAGAGCGAACGGCGCGAGAGTGTCTAGACCAGACAGGAGACCGCGGGCGATAAGGCAAAGGGTCAGGAAAGAATGACGCGAAGGGGCTGGAATGCAAATGAAACTAGAAGTCAGGGGGGCGGGTTAGGGTTGGTCCTGAGGCAAAACTGTAGTTGTGCGTGTTCTTTGATACTTATTAGATAACACTTATTAAACACCATGTGGTACTCCTCGGACTGGCACAAACGAGTATCTAGTTAAGAAGACCAGGAAAAAGCGTAACGACTCAGAGCTTTCTTGGCTGTCTCTGTCCGACAGCTGTCAGGGAAGCGCGCCCTAGTCCACGAGGGTCTGCAGCCGGAAGCACTGGTAGCAGTTTAGGACTTAAATCGGGGGATGGGGCAGTCTCTTTTTCGGCCCTGGGTGCGAGTGTCGCATGGTCTTCAGTCTACAAGCATCAGAAGGCCTGGGCGGCGTCCCCGTTTCGCTCAGGAAGCGCCCCGACCTCCCTAGAGCAGGCACCGGGCCCGCACGCCTTCTTCCTGCTTGCACTGGGGCCCGGAGGCTTGTGGGTAGACAGCAGGACGTCAGCGCCGACTGCATCCCAGACTGCCAGGGCCAGAAAGCGCCCGGTGCCAGTCACGTGCCCGGGCCCTTGCCGCTCTGGCCAGACCTTCACACTCAGTGACGCTAAAGCGTTTGCCCTAGACCACTCACATAAGAATAAGAAGAGGGACAGGGCGGTAATGCTCCGTAAACCTCTTGCCCTTCCCATTCTAGGAAAATATGTAAAACAATGGAAGGTTTTTAGGTGTGTGACAAAGTAAACGAGTCTTACAGGAGCGTGCAGATGTAGTTATTTCCTGGAGCCTGGGTAATGACTTAGAACGTTGCAGCACGGAAACACGAACGTACAAAGGAAACACAGGCAGCAATCAGATGAGGAAACCAATATGAAGTCCGCGGTCTGTTCTGGGAACTATAAAGTTATATCATTACTAGGCGTCATGCTTTTGATAGGCATTGTAGTGCTCTATTTGGTACCATTACAAGAAATTCTTTATCATCTTTAAATTAGAAGATTCCTACACGTCAGTTATTATTATTTTGGTAATGGAAATTGAACACAGGGTGCCTTACCACTGAGCTGCTTCTTATTTTTTTTTGTTTTGGGACAGGTTCTCCCTAAGTTGCTGAGGGACTCCCTAAATTTCTCAGACTGTCCTCAAACCTGCAATCCTCCTGCCTCAGCTTCCTAAGTTGCTGGAGTTACAGGTGTGGCTTTCCAGCACAGATCAATTATTTTAATGGGCACTAATTATCTATTAGTTTGTTAATCCTGTAAGGCTGATATTGTGCATTAAGAGTTCCCATTCCTATTCATCTCTGTTAATTTTATTTATTTTGAGTTGGATTCTCACTATGTTGCCCAGCCTGGCCTGCTCCTGGGCTCAAGCAAAGCTCCTGCGTCAGCCTCCCAAGCTGGGACTAAAGGGAACACCACAACCCAGAACTTTAAACTATTTTTAAACCTACACTTTGTGTAATATCAAAGTTAAATGAATCCATAAAACACATTTTTATTATAAATATGTCTCTTAAAAACAGATAGCTTAAGGGAGCCACCTTAGTCACTTGATTCTATCTCCTGGTAAGGGGCTAAATTTGTCTTTTTTTTTTTTTTCCTATGTTCCTCTCTGCCTCTATCCTCCTTTTTCAATCTGCCTGTAACCTCCATGCTTTGTAGATAAACTATCATCTTGACCGGGTACCTGGATTTTCCCCTTGAGGAGAATTTTGTAAATTGTCCCCAGGGATTCTATTTTAGCCAGCTTCTAATAGCTATGATGACAATAAAAGTTTAAACTTGATATTATGTGAAGTAGATGCATGTGGTCTTCTCTGCAAAACATTAAGAGTGCAGATAATATTTAGGGAAATGAGCACTAAAAGTAACAATTCACATTTTCATCATCTAACATCTTCTGAGGTTTAGTATATGCTTACTCTTCTCCATAGTAAAGGAGCAGACAGTTAATCAAGACAGAAATCTGAAACAGTTCTCTGAGCCATAGTTATAGGGAAAAGTTTTTTTAGTTTCTCTTTTGATGATTTTATTCAAAAACTCCTTAAATATCAAATCATGTATCCTGAAAGTCAAAGAAATTGCCAAGCTTGATAATAGGAAAAAATAGACATTACTTTGAACAAATGGATTTCAGTAAGAAGGGTTTTTAACCCTTCACTCTTTTAGAATAGAGTTGCTGACATCCGGCGGTGGTAGAAAACCTAGCTCATCTTTCAAATGCTAGGCATGGAATTGTTCATCTGGTTTATGAATACTTAATGAGTTTCACTGTGCCTGGTTATAAGTGAATACAATACATGAATAGGAATATTTCCTAGTATAAAATGTCTCCCAGTGAACCAGGGGCGAATATTTTTGGATCCTTTATAATGTTTTCCAGAAAAGTATGTGTTTATGGTAAAACAGTGGTTAATTTGTGAAATCAATATGAAAGTTATACCTATATTTTAAAATTCAAAATTTACCCTCGTGAATTTTCAGGGACGGAAAGGTAAAGGAGGGAAGCCTTGTAGATTTTAATTCTAGTAAACATAGAACGTGAAGTGAAACCTTCGTGTGGAAAGTTAGGCATCAGATATGCACAAGGGGACCTCTAGTGGCCAAACTGATAAGTTTTGCCTATTTAACAGGTGAATCGTTTGGTTATTAGCTGAAAAATGCTTTGTGGATTAAAAGCGGTTTGCACTTCTTACTGAAATTTAATACCCGCCATCTTTCATTCTTACAAATGTGCTGCCCAGATGAGTAAAGTATGTAGCCGGTTTACATGCGAAGAGAAGGTGTTCTTTTCGAGAAAGCGATTCCTTGCTGTCTGGTGTTAGGGTAAAGCCACTAAAATTGTTCTCTTCCTTTAAAAGATCAAATGGATAAGAAGAGATAACTGGGGAACAAGAACATTTCTAGATCGTTCTCTTTTCCAAGATGGCTCAGTTTCACATTTTAGGAACCGAAGTGCCCCCTGAACCTGCAGCGCATACGTAATTTCACAGCCCATATAATGTACATTTTAAATATAGAGATTTCTACACAAACTACTGATTATAAGCAACGCCTGTTAAAGAGAACATTTATAAAGCAAAGATTTTTTAGTGGAATCCAGTTTTCCACGTGCAGCTTTCACAGCATTCCAACCTTGGGCCTGGGGGGGGGGAGCCCTTCTGCCACCCACTACCTCCTCCCGGCTCAAGTCCCCGTAGGCAGTTTTGGAGTTAGAGGGGGGCGAGGGCCGGAGGGAGAATACACCAAAATGATGTCATTCGTGACTCAGAGATGGTTACCATGGCGACTATCAGACATATTACGCTAGGCTAAGAGCCTCTTTAATCCAACCTTCACTCGGGGGTTTCCCAGGGGGGTAGCCACAGATTACAGGGTGTAGACAGTCAGAAAAACGCCAGTGTTCGATCCTCCAAGACCGACGCTCTTTAAACTAAACCCAGCAGAGAAGTCATTTCGCTGGTGAGGAGACCTTGCCGCCTCCTGGGTGGCCACGGTGAAGGACGCCCGCCCTCCACAGAATTTGAGAGTTCATTGGTTGATGGTGTCGTCACTCAGAGTGACGTCACGGGGCGAGGGGCAAGAGGTGGAATCATAGAGACTTGGCCTCTGGCCCTTCTAGCTCGAAGGGCCAAGGGAGGAATTGGGAAGGAACTGGGAGGACCTGGGTGGCAGTTCCCGGGAGCCCGGCCGAGGAGGTAGGGGTGGGCGGACCAAGTCCTCAGGCTGTTACTTGGACCGTGCCTGCGTGTTCCCCTCCGGAGCCCGCTCCCTGTGCATCCTGCCCCTCCCATCAGCGCCCCGTTTTCCCTACGGTTTCCAGTTCCCACCGCGCTCTCCTCAGCCACGGATCTCGTCCTCTTCCCTGGCCTCCCAAACTTTGGAGCTCAACCTCCGTTTCCCACTCCTTTCGCGCTTCGCTTCCGAGTCTCTCTTCTGTGTCCTGAGCCCTCTTCTCCTCGTCTTCATTTTCAACCACATGGATCACTAGGAGTTATCGTTCCTGTATCTGCCCCACCCCCGCACACACACAGACAAAAATCCCGAGACCCCACAACAGTTCACCCACGTACTACGCGCACGAAAGTTGCTGACCGAGGAAGCCGAGGGCGCGTTTGCACCCGGGTAGTGATGTGCCAGCGGCAGAGGTAACCCCAAGAACCCTGGGCGTGGGGGCTGTGCGAAAAGCCTGGCGTGCCACACGGTCGGCCTGTCTGCGCCCGGGTCCGCCAGCCTGGGAAGTGGTTGTCCACAGCCCAGCGCAGGAGTGCCGGGCGGGAGACGGGATTTGCCCCAGCAGGTCTTGTCTCGCTCCAGCAAAACACCATCCACCATTGGGCTGGGTCCAGAGACGCTGAGCCCTGTTCAAAATCCTAGCTCTGTGGTTAAGATTTCCATCCAGGAAAGACCCTGATGCTCCTTAAAACCCAGTTGCAGGAAAGCGAAGTAGATAGTGTGAGATATTAAGGGTTCTTACAGCTCCTTGCTGCCCCTAGCTGAAAAGCCTCGCTGGATGGAGGAAGGCTCAGTTTGGGCTGTGGAAAATCGCTAGAGCCGTTTTACCTGCACTTGAATATAGGCACCATGCATATCTTTACTCCTACATAAAAGAGATTAGTGAATACTTTCAAGCTATAGGGTTTGGGGTAGCTTGGCCAAATATGGAAAAAGCTAACAGAAAACAAATCCGGGGGGGGGGGGGAGGAAAAAGGTGGGGAGAAGAAAACAAATCCAGGGTATCTGCTTTCTACTTGTATTCTAGTCTACAAATAGGTATGCTTGTCTCATCTTCTTAAATACCTGCCCACCATCCAAGGAAGATTATAAAAATGTGTCTGACGGTCATATCTTCTTCATTAAGCATTATCTTAGAGATCATTTCTGTGTTTTGGGATCTGAAAGTTCCATACTCAAATCCAGAGCTAAGAAAATAATTGTTAGGAATGAACTTGAAGGAGGTTTTGTACTTTGAATATGCAAATTTTCTGCCCTTGCAATAGCTAGAAACTCATTGTTTAATTGATGTCTTTTTAAAATACCAAATTGTTTACTTCTTTTGTCTAGGTCTCTTTGTTAAAATTGTTCAGAGAAAAATAAATATGGCATTCAACAGTTGTAATTCAGTCTTAGCTATTGTCCGTACAAGGTAAGCATTAGAATTTTCCCAACCCCCAAAAGTATATGAACCTCATTCTTCTGGATGGAAAGGATATGTGTAAAAGGATTGGCTTAGTGCACAATTAAAACCTTGTTGGTTTTTGATTACGCTGGTTCTTAGGAAGCTGACATTTTAATGTAAACTTACTAACATCTTCTATATGCTTTAGAACTTGGGCTGAGTAGTTTTGTTGAGGTTTGGTACAAGTAAGGTAGAAGATGTAGTCAGATGCAGTGATATACTGGCCTGTAATCCCAGCAACTAGGGCCTGAAGCAGGAAGATTGCAAGTTTGAGGCCAGTTTCAGCAATTTAAGTAAACCCTGTCTCAAAATAAATATTAAAAAGGGCTGGAGATATGCTTATTGGTAGAGTGGCCCTGGGTTTAATTCCCAGTACCACATATAATCACACATAAAATTATAGAGTGACACCTCTACAATTGATGAGGCCTTTTGATGTAAAAAGGAGTAAAATGACTAATGAACAAGTCCCTTCTATGGCAAATTCCTGTTTCATTAGGGTGTGTTATCACATTGTAAATTTTCCCTTTTGGTTATCCAAAGAATATTTTTATTTTGGGATACTTCAAAAATAGTCTGGAAGGCTCGGGGTGTAGTCATGACTGGCATGCATGAGACTGTGGGTTCCATTCCCAGCACTGGGGTAAAAAAGAAATAAGCTTTATGTCCTGAGCCTGTAATCTTAGCTACTTAGGAGCCTGAGGCAGGAGAATCTCAAGTGCAGGGCCAGGATGGGCAGATGATGTAGGCAACAAAGAAAGAGACTGCCTTTAAAAAGAAAATTAAAAAAAAGAATGAAAGAATAGAAAAAGGATCTATCTTACAGTCTTATTTAACTGAAGGCTATAAGCTGTTGTGATAGAATATAGAGTTCCTTGACTCCAATTCTAATTTTAATTTCTAATGTTCTTGAGAAATTTTAGATGAAAGGGCATTTCTGTTGTAAGTGCCTCTCATTTAAAGGAGTCCATGAACATTACATAGACAAAGTAGTATTATTTGATTGGTTAACCCCCACAAGGACCATGGAAAGTTTCATTAAAACATTCCTATTGTCAGTAGAGTGGTTACAGATACAATATTGTAGTCCATAGAGACAATACTATTGAACATAATCCCGGACATGTAGATGTGTGCTAGTAGATTTTAAAGTTAATGGTTGTAGGACTTCTAACTTCTAAGCAATTTATTCTTAGAAATTAACTTATTAATATTTCTCATAGAGCATATTCAACCATAGAACATACTATTTATTAGTTGAGGCAAAAAATTATATTTGGGGTTGGTGGTATAGCTCAGTGGTCTAGTATATGCTTAGTATATGTGAGGCCCTAGGTTATATCCCTACCATCACCACCACAACAAAAAATATTTCATTCACTAATAATTAGGAGCTGTCTATGAGCTTTAAAAAGTTTAGTTTTAACTAGATAAAATATCTATTTAAGTTTGTAATAGTATGTGCTCAACTCAGAAATGTTACTCTTTATTCCAGATTCCCTAGCCATTTTGTCCATCCTATCTGCTCTTATTCCCCATCACTTGCATTTCTTCACTTGCCAGATTCTCATTTAAATAAGACATATATATAAGAACTATAGAAGCAAGAAGTACTGTTATCCCAGTCAGTCAGGCAATAAAATACTTCATTTACGAACTAGGCCAATACAAAAGTTACACACATCAGCTTGCTGGCTACAACAGAACCCTGGTAAACCTCAGCTGGAGCAAACCCCAGAAAAGGCAAAGGTGATAAGCCCTCAGACCACAGAAGAAATTGGGATAAATATTAAAGAAGGAAAGCGATCTCTCAGACAAAAAATTATGGATGAACTTAAATATTATTACAACGGATTCTATTTACTTTGGATTGACACCAAAATTGCTACCAAAATGGCTTGGAGGCTGCTTCATGGACAGGTGCTGACCAGACGAGAGAGACGACGGGTAGGCAAAAATTGTATTCCAACAAGAAGATGTGAAATTAAAATGAACCTTTTGGGAACCAAGTTTTAAACTCAAACTTCATCTTTTTTTTTTTTGGAACTGGGGATTGAACCCAGGGCCTCATGCTTTCCAGGCAAGCAGTCTACCACTGAGCCATATCCCCAGCCCATAAACTTCATCTTAAATATCCCAAAGTAGCTTGCCTTGCATGTTCAAGGCTCTGGGTTTGATCCCCAACACCCTCCATCTCAAATCCTAAAGTAGGAATAGTTAACTACTGGTGAAAATGAGTTTCTTCTCATAGTACTGGAGATCCAACCCAGGACCTTGTACTAAGTAAATGCTCTACCCTGAGGTTCATTCCCAATTCCCAAAAGAACCAGTTTTTACTGAGTTTCTTATTTGTCTACAGCTGACTTGCTGTACAGCTTTAAGCAGTATTCTTTATTGTTTTTTATATCTGTGTATAGAATAGTTATGTTTTTAAATTTCTCCAAGGAGTTGAAAGATTTCAGGTTTAATGTGCATTAGAAATGCAAAGTACTGTTAGCCGGGAGTGGTTGCACGTACCTGTAATCCCAGGGACTCCAGAGGCTAAGGCAGGAGGATCACAAACTTGAGGCAGCCTCCAACAATTTAGCAAGACTCTTTGTCAAAAAATAAAAAGGACAGAGGATATAGCTCATGGATAGAGTACCCCTGGGTTTTTAATCCCCAGTACCACCAAAAAAATGGTGAAGAGAAAAACCCCACCTTTCTATTTTATGAACAGGTGCAGAAAACCTATCTTGACTCTTAACAGTTTAAGAACCAAGGCAGGCTTTTTTTTTCTTGGCATATCATAAAATAATGAAATATTGCTTCTGCATTTAATTCTTTAGCTATTGAGAACTTGTGCCGATTTCTTCCGTTTGGTTCCATTTATGGTATTCATAATTGTACCTTTCATGGAATTCTTGATACCAGTGTTTCTGAAACTCTTCCCAGAGATGTTGCCATCAACTTTTGAAAGTGAATCCAAAAAGGTATGTAGAAATTTTGAACTTTTAAAAAACTAGACTTTACTTTTTGGACCAGTTTTTAAGTTTACAGGAAAATTGGGCAGAAAGTAGAGAATGTCTATATACTTCTATCCCCCATATTACACTAGTGTGGTGCATTTGTTACAACTAAAGAAACCATATTGATACATTCATTAATTAAATCTCAGACTTGACATTTGGTTTCACTTTTTGTGGTGTACCATTTTTGGAGTTTGTAAATGCATAATGTCATCTTATCTATCTTCATATCATCACACAGAATAGTTTTACTGCTCTAAATATCCCTTGTGCTCCATCTATTTGTTCCTTGTTTGCTCCTCCCCCCAATCCATGGCAACCACTGATCCTTTTACTATCCTTATAGTTTTACCTTTTCCAGAATGTCATATACTTGGAATCATACAGTCTATAGCCTTTTTTAGGCTGGCTTCTGAAAAATAGTTATAACTATAGGTAAATATATTAAAATTTTAAGAATATTGCCTAAAATTATACAATAAATCAGTTGCAGACAAATAAGAAACTCAGGAAGAGCCAGTGGTGGCTAATGCCTGTAATCCCAGCAACTCAGCAGGCTGAGGCAGGAGGATCACAAGTTGGAGGCCAGCCTTGGCAACTTATTGAAACCCTATCTCAAAATTTAAAAATGAAGGCTGGAGGTATAGCTCAGTGATAGAGTGCCCCTGGGTTCCAGTCCCTGTACTAAAAAGGAAAAGAAAAACTCAGTAAGAAAGCCTGGTTCTCTTGGGAATTGGAGATGTAGCTCAGTGGTTGAGATGTAGCATGTTCAGTGTCCTGGGTTGGATCCCTAGCACTGTGAGGTGGGATTGGGGAAGGAGACTGCTTCTCACTAGTAGGTAGTGTTTCTACTTTAGGATTGGCTGGGAGTGTATGGTGGTACTGGGGATCAAACGCAGAACTTTGATCATGATAAGCAAAGGGATATTTAAGATGAAGCTTAAGTTGAGTTGTGGCAGTATGCATTTAAAATTCTTCCAGGTCTTATCCAGTGTATGGATATACCACAGTTTATCCATTTACCTTTTGAAAATTGGTTGATTCCGATTTGGGGCTATTATGAGTAAAATTGCTATAATTGTATTCAGGCTTTCATGTGGATGAAAGTTTTCAGTTCATTTGCATAAATACTTAGGAGAGTATTTACCTAGCTGGATCAAATGGGAATACTGTTTAGTTTTACATGAAATTACTGAACTGTCTTCCAAAGTAGCTGTACCATTTTGCATTGCTACCAGGAATGAATGAGAGTTCTGTTATTGTACATCTTTCCCCACATTTGATGTTGTCCATGCTTTAGCTGTTAGTCATTATAGTAGTTTGTACCGGTATTTCATTGTTGCTTTAATTTGCAGTTCTCTCGTGATATATGAGGTTGAGCATATTTTCATGTAACTATTTGCTACCTGTGTATCTTCTTTGAGGAGGTGTCTATTCAGATATTTTGTCTACTTTTTTAATTGGGTGGTTTGTTTCTTATTGTGGTTTTGAGTCTTTGTATATTTTGGAAAAAAGTCCTTCATTAGACAAACATTTTGCAAATATTTTCTCCTAGTCTCCTGTCTTTTCATTCCTGACCAGTGTCTGCCACAAAGCAAACACTCTTAAATATTTTTTAGTTGTAGACAGACACAATACCTTTATTTTATTTACTTATTTTTAATGTGGTGCCAGGGATCAAACCCAGTGCCTCATGCATGCTAGGCAAGCACTCTACCACTGAGCTACAACCCCGGCCTCCAAACACTCTTAATGAAGCCCATCTAATCAATTTTTCTTTCAAGGATCATTCTTTTGCTATTGCAGCTAAAAACTCATTACCAAACCCAAGGTCACGTAGATTTTTCGCCTGTTTTTTTTTCCCTAGGAGTTTCATAGCTTTGCATTTTACATTTAGGTGTATGATCCATTCAGAGTTAATTTTTATGAAAGGTGTGATGTCAGTGTCTAGATTTTTTTTTTTTTGCATGTGGATATCCAGTTTTTCTAGTACCATTTATTTTAAAAGATTATCCCTTCCCACTGAATTTTAATTAGAAAAAATAAAAAGATAACAAAAGCCCACTGTGGTGACTAATTGAATAGTAGATAGAATTTATTCAGCCACACAGACCCTTTAGTGCTGAGAAGTCCTTGAGAAGAAGGTGTCTGATGTTGCTGTCAAGGGGATGGATGAGGGCTGGGGATATGGCGCAGTTGGTAGAGTGCTTGCCTTGCATGCACAAGGCCCTGGGTTCAATCCAGGTTCAATCAAAAAAAAAAAAAAATCTAGGGGATGGATGAGAAAACAGACACAATTCCTTCACTTTTCCCCTTCTGTGTGACTACTAGACAGTGGTATGAAGGTATGAACAAAACTACTAGAGGACAAAGTGGGCAACTTTTAAATCAGTAATACTGGGAAATATTTCACAGAAGAGGTAACTTTAGAACTGAGACTTAAAAAAAAGAGTGAAATTTTACCACAGTTTGAAAAGGATATTCTGGATAGAAAAAATAGCACAATCCAAGCAGGATCTAGAGGCTGAGGCAGGAGGATCACAAGTTACAGGCCAGCCTTAGCAATTTAGTGAGACCCTGCCTCAAATAAATAAATAAATAATAGAAAGGCTGAGGGTGTAGGTCAGTGGTAGAGCACCCCTGGGCTCCATCCCCAGTACTGGAAGAGAGAGAGAGAGAGAGAGAGAGAGAGAGAGAGAGAGAGAGAGAGAGAGAGAGAGAGAGAGAGAGAAACACCATCATTTAGAATTAATGCCACAACATTCCAAGGAAAGTATTAGTGGATATAGGAAGATGGGGGGAATCCGGGAAAGGGATTTATCTAAATATTACCTCTCCTTTGAACACTATACCTTCCCCAAACATACACATACACACACACACACACTTGTGGTGTTCCAGAGAGGGAGTTGGAGGAGCTTTCTGTGCTCCTCATGCATTTCTCTAGTCTGGCACTGGTGCAACCCTGTAATCTCAGTGCTCTGGAGGTTGAGGCAGGAGTATTGCAGTTTCAGGACTAGCCTCAGCAATTTGGAGAGACCCTGTCTCAAAGTTAAAAACAACAACAACAACAACAAAAGGCAGGAGGTCTGAAGATGTAGCTCAGTGGTAGAGCAAACTTGAGTTCAATCCCTAGTACCAGACACAAAAATAATAATAAATAAATAAGAACCATACATTTCTCTTTCATAGTACTTATTCATTCTATTTTTCTGTTAATTTGTGGAAGTACTGGATCATCATTAGTCACTAATGTTTGTCCATCTCACTAGATTAGAAGTTCCAAGAGGACAGTAACTCATATCTCTTTTTTGCTAGTTTTAATCTAGAGCACCTAGTACATGGTACATGCTCAATAAATAAATGGTGTCGTGGTGCATGCCTATAATCTGAGCAATTTGGGAGGCTAAGGCAGGAGGATAGAGAGTTCAAAGCCAACCTCAGCAATTTACAGAGGCCCTAAGCAACTCAGTAAGACCCTCTCTCAAAATACAATATAAAAAAGTGCTGGAGATATAGCTCAGTGGTTAAGTACCCCTGAGTTCAATCCCTGGTACCAAATAAATAAATAAATAAATGGATAGATGGAAGGATGTGAGTGATTGACCAAACAGATTCTAACCACTATGTTATTGCTATTGTGTATTTTCATTTTGGCTGAGTCTTTTAAGATCTAAAAATCAATGATTCCTCTAATTGGATGATCATTAGAATATCAGAGGTGACTTAAAAAACATTTTTATATGTACATACATATATAAAAACATAATACATATTTACATATTATATATAAACTGTATATACTTATGTATGTTTATTATATGTATGTATTTATGTGTGTGTTTTTAAGTTGCTCAGGAAATTCTAATTATATAATCTACATATGTAATCATCTATGTATGTAATATAGATATAGCTAGATATAGATATATTTTTTTCTATTTCTCTCCACCCACAAACACACTAACCATGGTTAGACTGAAAATGCTACCACATGGATTTTTTATGAAAAACAGGGATTAAGAAATACTGGTAACTACTGTCTTGAGATTGTACATTTTATTCCTCTTTGTGTAGTTCTTTTCTTCATATGTACTATACCACTTAACTCTCTGTATTATAATTAACTAAATCTATTTTCCATTTAGACTCTAAGCTACTTCAGTGTAGAATTGATTTCCTTGTCTTTGTAGGGCAAAATCTGGGTCTATTCAGATCAGGAGTTGGCTCAAGTAGCAACCTAGTTGGTTAAGAAATAGTATCTCTTTCTAAATAATGATAAAGCCTTCCACTGAGGGGACATTTGGGATCTTTTAAATGCTAATGAACATTTCATTAATGAGAAATAAATGTAAACTGGGCGCAGTGGCACACACATGTAATCCCAGCGGCTTGGGAGGCTGAGGCAGAAGGATCCTCAACGATGGCGAGGTGTTAAGCAACTCAGTGAGACCCGTCTCTAAAAATAAAATACAAAATAGGGTTGGGGATGTGTCTCAGTGGTCGCGTGTCCCTGAGTTCAATTCCCGGTACAGAAGTAAGGAAGGAAGGAAGGAAGGCAAGATTAAGGAAACAAGTTTCAAATACAAGCTATTTTATATTTGCCCTGGTTCTCACAAATCCCAATTAGGCCTGCAAATAATATTATTACACTACATGTTATAGGGATATGCAATAACAAAGTGATAGTTATTTCTTCCATCTTTGCCAAGTTGTAGTCATGAAAGATTAACTTTTTCCTCTTCTACTATTCAGGAAGAAAAACAGAAAAAGAAAATGGCTGCAAAACTGGAAGTAGCAAAATTCCTTCAAGAAACAATTACAGAAATGGCAAGGAGGAACAGAGCCAATATGGGAGATGCCTCTACACAGCTATCATCCTATGTAAAACAGGTGTTAGTCTTTTATATCATACCAAACAACTTCTGAGCTGGAGTTATATGAAAAATGCATGTCATCATAGATCTTCCAAATTGTTCAAATCTTTGAAATTGCTAATATGTATGTTATAAAATACACTAATTGTAATCATATAACATAAACAGAGTAGTTTGCAGGAAAGCTTAAGTAATCAATGTGTTGATAGTAACTTCTTGGAAAGAACAGCACAATTCTCTTTATTTTTCAGGTGATTCCAGTTCCAGACAGAAAACAAAGTTCATGGGCTGGGGCTGTAGCTCAGTGGCAGAGTGTTTGCCTAGCATGTGTGAGGCACTGGATTCCATCCTTAGCACCACATAAAAATAAACAAATAAAATAAAGGCATTCTGTCCATCTACAACTACAAAAATAAAATTTAAAAAAAAAGAAAGAAAATAATGTTCATAAATGCTTTGTTGTCTATTTCAAAAGTCTACTGGGCTGGGCGTGGTAGCACATGCCTGTAATCCCAGGAGCTCAGAAGGCTGGGGCAGGAGGATAGAGAATTCAAAGCCAGCCTCAGCAATTTAGTAGGCACTAAGCAACTCAGTGAGACCCTGTCTCTAAATAAAATACAAAATAGGGATGGGGATGTGGCTTAGTGGCTGAGTGCCCCTGAGTTCAGTCCTTATACCCACCCCCACAAAGGTCTATTGGGAAAGTTACATTTAGTAGGGAATACATTTTAATTAGCCTCTTTGTTTCATTGCCTAGGTCCAGACAGGCCACAAACCCAGCACAAAGGAGATAGTTCGCTTTTCCAAATTCTTTGAGGATCAGCTACCCCTGGAGCACTTAGATCGACCTCAGCTTGTTGCCCTTTGTAAACTGCTAGAATTGCAGACCTTTGGAACCAACAATTTTCTCCGCTTTCAGCTCCTGATGACATTGAAGTCTATAAAAGCAGACGATAAAGTAAGAGCTTAACCATAGCTGAAGGGGATTTGAGAAGCATTGGGAGGCATCTTAGTATGCCTTTGTGATGAAATGCAGTATTTTCTGTTGGGTCTGCTCATGGATTGATGCTGGCAAAATGAGTGGTTTAAACAATCATTTTAGAAATTGTTTGTTATACTGGGACCCATTTTCTTAAAAATGCCATCATAAGCAGTCAGTAATTTGGATGTCTTAGCTGAGATTAATCTAAAGCAGTTAGGACCTGCTGGGAAGGAAATAGCAGCTCAGTAGATTCCTGGCAAGGCTTTACCCTGCACACCTCTGCTCCCCTACTGAGGAGCTGGTGCCAAAGTAAATATTCTGCTGAGTGAGTTGGGCTGGTTAGAAGCGGGTGGTAAAGCATAATGCTGGAAGGAGAAGCACAGCCTAGACATCTTACAGAAAGCACCATTTAGAATATAACTACTAATTAGATGCCTTAAAAAAAAATGGAAAGAGTGTTTCTTGAATCTAAACCAGCTGTTATAAAGTATTCTACCTGTGGGAGCAGGCTTCTCAGAACCATGAAAGCAAAACATGATCCTATTGGCCTTTTTTTTTTTTGAACTAGGGATTGAACTCAGGGGCACACAATCACTGAGCCACATCTCCAGCCCTATTTTATACTTTTTATTTAGAGACAGGGTCTTATTGAGTTGCTTAGTCCTCACCCATTGCTGAGGCTGGCTTTGAACTGATGATCCTCCTGTCTCAGCCTCCTGAGCCACTGCGATTACAGGCATGTGCCAACACACCTGGTTTCCACTGGTCTCATTTTGATTTTACATATGCTTTCAGAACTTTGGAATAAGCAATACTGGTACCAGAGGTACCATAGTTTGGGATTATATCAAGCAGAAACTGTTATTTATTGAGGCAGTTTTGCGGATCAGTTAGAGCCATTCCCACAGTGGTGTTAGGGGACAGTGGAGGAAAAATAATCCTGGGACATGCAACAGATGTTACCATGAAAGCTTTTCAAGTACAACATTTTTTCTAATGAACCCTAAAGATGCTATGAAAGGGGAAAGGAGGTGTTACAACCAGACAATGCAAAATGCAAAATTCATTTGTTGATAAAATGTTGGGAAGGAGTTATAGAAATATCTCTATTATTACATGGTGGCACATGCCTATAAGCCCAGCAATTCAGGAGGCTGAGGTAGGAAGACTGCAAGTTAGTGACCTGCCTCAGCAACTTAGCAAGGTCCTAAACACTATCAACACTCTGTCTCAAAAAAAAAGGGGGGGATGGTGGTGATTGGGAATGTGGCTCACTAGTTAAGTGCCTATGGGTTCAATCCCCAGTAAGAAAAACAAAACAAAGAAAAAGAAAAAGTAAGGTCTCTGTTATTAATACCTGTTAGCAGGATTTCCTTCATCTAAACTACCACCTTTCTAAGTCACTTTGATTTTTTTTTTTTTAGGGTTCTGGTCTTTGCAGCAATCAATGTAGGGGACAAAGGATCAACTTATCAAATTCTGGATTTCTACTGATTTGCTGGAATCTAGGGAATTAGAAAATATTGGAACACGAAGATATAACACTGTTCCTTAACATTTCTTGCAGATAATTGCCAAAGAAGGGGTGAAGACTTTGAGTGTGTCAGAACTACAATCTGCTTGTAGGGCCCGAGGGATGAGATCACTGGGTCTTACTGAGGAACAACTTCAACAACAGCTCACAGAGGCAAGCAGCAGCACCCTCAGACCCTCTTCTCTGGAGCAAATCTCCCCTATGATTTGCAGACCTCATCTTGTGATATTTACTTTGCAAGCTATTTTAGTCAGCTTTTCATTGCTGTGACAAAATATAGGAGGTTTATTTTTTCCCAGTATTGGGGATTGAACCCAGGGCCTTGTGCATGCAAGACAAGCACTCTACCAATTGAACTATATCTCCAGCCCAAGATAATTAATTTATCAGAAGAAAAGGTTTATTTTACCTCATGGATTTCAGTCCATGGTCACTTGGTCTTATTGCTTTGGGACTGTGACAAAACAGTTCATCATGGCACAAGTCTGTTCATCTCAAAGTGATAAGATGAACATTTATTCCAAGTGAACCATTCATTCCATTCATCTTAAGGTGGTCAGGAAGGAAAAGGGAAGGGCCTGGTCTCAATATCCCCTATAAGGGCAGGCCCCCAGTGACCTAACTTCCCGTCACTAGGCCTTACCTCCTAAAAGTTCTACCATCTCAAAGCCTTTAGCACATGGGCTTTTGGGGGACATTTAAGATTAAACCATAGCACAAGTGAACCATTTTACATATTTTGCCTCATATCATTGAGTAGCAGGATACCGAAGAAGCTAGATTTATTTTGCACTTGGATTGGGATGGGACATTATATTAGTTTTCTATAACTGTACTACAAATTACAGTTATAGAAACTTAGTTCACAGTTTATAGGTTAGAGATGTAGGCTGTGTTCTTTTCTGAAGGCTATGGGGAAGAGTCCATTGCCAAGATCATTCAGTTCAGTGACTGAAACCCTCTCCCTGTAGCTGTAGGGCTGAAGTCCTTGTTTCCTCAATGGCTGCCAGCCTTGAACTGTTGTCAGCTCTAAGAGCTACCTCTATGCCATACCTCTTGGCCTCTATCTGCAGAGCTAGCAGTGGACTTCTTATATGACAGATCCCCCTCACACTTCAAATATCAAACTTCTCACTTTTGACGTCTAGCCCCAGATTTTAAGGGTTTATGTGATTAGGTGAGGCCTCACTGGAAAAGTTCTTTATCTCAAGGTCAGCTGACTTGGGGCCTTATTTTCAAATCCCTTCACATAACACCTAGAAGAGTGTTTGAGTACCTTCGAGAAAGTGTGGGTATACCAGGGAACCTTGAGGCCACCTTAGAATTTTGTCTACTTCAGAGACTGTAAGGGTCTGGGCAGAAATTCTCATTCAAGTCGCTTTATGAATGTAAACCTGTCTAAATGTCTGGACCTCACCTAGTAGTGCCCAATTAATTCTCCAAACCAATTCAGCGTTTGCTTTGCTAATAGATGCTTAATATTATCCTTCAGATAGTAATTTAGTAAAAATATCAATGCTTTAAAACAAAGGAATAACTCCTGTTAAAATTCTCATTTTTATAATTTAAAAAAGTACAATAGGTAGCTATTTCCTCTTACATGTAGACCAACTATGGTTAGAAGATGAATATATTATAGAAATACTTGAGATCATGAATTTCTTAAACATGGAGTATTAAATGTCATTGATTATTATACTGTCAAATTGCCCTCTTAAAAGGGTATATAATTTTATAATCTCCAGCAAGGGAACAAAGATATTAATATAATCATTGATCATATTTAGCATTACATATTACTTAAAGAATTCCATTAAGGACCTTAGTTCATAAAAAAGAAAATTTAAAAATGGTAAACTTAACAATCTTAACCTTACTCATATGATAAATTAAAACTAAAAGATGCCACATTCACTATTATATTGACAAAGATCAGAGGTTGTAATCATACTGTGTTGTTAAGAGCTTGGATGAAGGGGCATTCTTGCATTGCTGGTAAAAATCTCCATGTAGAGTAATTTGGCATCATCTTTCAAACTTTAAAAATGCATATACTCTTCGACTCATCACTTTTACTTCTAGGAATTTATCCCATATTCTTGGACATGTGCCAAATGAAATATGTATAAGATTATCCAGTGCAGAGGTACAATTTATAATAGCAAACAATTGGGAACAACCTGAAGATCATTGATAAGAGAATCAAATAAACTATGAAATTTCCATATAATGAGATTTTTTTACTAGTGTTTAGAGAGTCAGTACTACATCTACTGACATGAATCAATTGCCAAAATATCTCAATGGAAAAAAAGCAAAGGACAAAATTGTGTGCATATTACCCTTTGTGTAAAAAATTAAAAACATAAATCAGCCAGGCATGATGGTGCACACCTGTTATCTTGGCAACTTGAGAGGCTGATAGGAGGATTGCAGGTTTGAGGCCAGCCTCAGCAACTTGATGAGGCCCTAAGCAACTTTGGTAGACCCTGTCTCAAAATAAAAATAAATAAGTAAATAAATAAAAAGGGCTGGGAGGGCTGGGGACGTGGCTCAAGTTGTAGCACGCTCACCTAGCATGCATGAGGCACTGGGTTTGATTCTCAGCACCACATAAAAATAAAGATTTGGCTGTGGCTCAGTGGTAGAGTTCTTGCCTAGCATGTGTGAGGCCCTGGGTTCGAATCTCAGTACCACATAAAAATAAATAAGTAAAATAAAGATGATATTTTTTTTAAAAAAGGGCTGGGGAATTATGGCTCAGTGGTTAATCACTTCTGGGTTCAATCCTTACTACAAAAAAATTTATTTATACACACACACACACACACACACACACACACCTGGTACCAAAGGTTCCTTCTAGGGAAGAAGGTGCCTTGAGAATAGGGGTGGAAGACTTTTTTCCATCAAGGAATTTTGTGTTTTACACCCTAAAAAAGAATCCCAGGATTTTCCCTCCTGTGTTTTTGACTTGCTTCTTCCTGGTCCATAATGCCAGTTTAGGTTGTCAGTGCATTGAAACCAAACTGTTGGGATGACAGCAGATCATTCTGCCATTTTTCTATGTCTTTGAGCTGCACATTAAATCTGGGGCTGATCACAGGCTGTTTAACTAGCTGTGAGGTCCCCAACAATTTTCCCAGCTCTGATCATCAGTGATTTCAAACTCAACAATGTAACCATGCTTCATCATCACAGAAACCAGATGACGACTTTGGAGCACAGCCTAATAGGACCTGGCATTTGCTTCTTTTCAGCACACTGATACTCTTGAAAGCATCAGCCAGGACATTTATGTGCACCATGATGGCAGCATGGAAAGATGGTGGAAAAAACAGACTTGTTCTTTTTTTTTGGGTGGGGGTTAGGGGGAGGTATCCGGGGATTGAACTCAGGGTTACTCAACCATGGAGCCACATCCCCAGCCCAATTTTGTATTTTATTTAGAGACAGGGTCTCACTGAGTTGCTGAGGCTGGCTTTGAACTCATGATCCTCCTGCCTTAGCCTCCCAAGCTGCTGGGATTACAGGCATGCTAGACATTTTTTTTATTGAAAGCGTTTTACTTTTTGAATTGTCTCTTGTGTACGTATAAATGGTCGAAAAACTTTTTGTTTTTAAAGCTTGGCCTACTTAATATCTAAAAATTTACATCTCACCCTCATTCTAATTTTTGGTTAATGGTTCATGCCACTTTTTGTTTTAGAGAAGATGCTTAATACTTTCATCATAATTGGATTGAGAACTTAATTGATCACTCTGTCTCTGGGTCTGAGTGATCCCACTACTGTATGTGTGTGTGGTGGGGGGCATGTGAGTACGGGGCAGGAGGTGCTACCAGGTACTAGCACTGGGGGAGAAGTCTATTGGCTGGTGATTTTATACTTGTTCAGCGTGAGTGTGGGGGGAGTTGCAACTCAGGGAAGCAGTAGATGACTGTGGGTCACTTCACCTTTAACATTGTGTTTCTGTCATGTTTTATTCCCTTTGTCCAGTGGCTGGACCTCCACCTGAAGGAGAATGTCCCTCCTTCCCTTCTGCTCCTATCTCGAACCTTCTACTTGATAGATGTGAAACCAGAGCCAATTGAAATACCACAAAGTGGAGAAGTGAGTAATTGGGTTTAGGGAGAATCATCTGTATGTCCATTATAACCAAGGCTTCTACACCACTGTTTTGTTTCCTCTTACTGTCACACCTGGGATTTCTTTTGGAATTTGGCTCAAATAGCTTTAACATTTTCTTTATAATTCTTAAAAAAAAAAAAAGTTCAGAGTAGGCTATGGGTTCAGCTCAGTGGTAAAGTGCTTGCCTAGCATCCATGAGATTCTGGGTTCAATCCCCAGCACTCTCAAACCCCCACCCTAAAAGGCCACTCAAGACCACCTTGTCATAGGGCTCCTATTGCCTTTAATCCAAAAGACATAAGAATTTTATGAATAGGAGTATTTTTTCCTCCTTATCTAGTTTTCATTAGCAGATTCTACCCCGCCTCCCCCCCCCCCGCCATACACACACTGCCTTCCCTTTTTCTATTGAATGGTTCCTATTTCATTTGTCTAAATTTCTATTGATTTTTAAGCAAAAAGGGACTAACACAGAAAGTAATTCATTTCCTTACTCATTTTATTTTTGCCTTCAACTCAGTAACTTTATTCCTCCTGTTATTTCACCGAAAAACCAACTCAGGATGGGCCAAAGCACTGGAGCACCTTGCTCTGAGCCCATCAGAAAGGGCTTTCCACTACTGTGTGGCTTCAAGTCTGACTCAGAACTGTCATAAGCAAGAAAGGAAATACAACTCAAAGTGAAGACCAGCCTTTTTTTTTTTTTTTGGTACAGTGGATTGAACCCAAGGGCACTTAACCACTGAGTCACATCCCTGGCCTTTTTGTATTTTATTTAGAGACAGGGTCTCACTGAGTTGCCTAGGACCTTGCTAAGTTGCTGAGGCTAGCTTTGAACTCATGATCCTCCTGCCTCAGCCTCCCAAGCTGCTGGGATTTACAGGCCTGTGCCGTTGTACCCAGCTAGGTCCAGTCATTTTAAATCTTAGATATGAGGTTGATCCCCTAGGACAAGACAAGGATAATTAGTTGAAGCATGAAATATCTACTTCAGGAAATGCCACCCTGCTTTCCCTTTATGTATTACCACAGAGTATCTGATTTGGGGCTTTGTCCAGGGCAGGTTCTAGGAAGGTTAGGAGCAATTTTGTACAGACCATGAAGGCAGGCTAGTGAGTTCAGGATCAAACTCCTGGAACCATTCAAGACAGACCAAAGGTTTTTTGTTTTTTGTCATCTCAGACCACTTTCAGGAGCAAAGGAATCTTCTTGGAGGACCACAATGTCAATATTTATTTTTTAGTCCCAGGTGGACACAACATCTTTATTTTTATGTGGTGTTGAGGATCGAACCCAGCACCCCACACATGCCAGGCAAGTGCGCTACCGCTTGAGTCACATCCCCAGCCAATAATTAACATAATTTTTAATGATAGGTTAGCTACCTATTTTATCATTGCTCCTTAATCTAACCTATTATCTATTGTTATTACCTCTTCTCATTTTGCTTGTCACCCAGGGCCTAGACCATGCTAAGCATATACTTTAACCACTGAGCTAGACCCTTAGCATTTTAGGAGCTTTTACTAAGGAATACCTATATTTTAGTCAGGCAAATTTACCATTTACTATGATACTAAAACCAATAGATGTCAATTTTGGCTATTAGAAACTGATGAGTAATTGAGAAATGGCAACTTCTTTTTGAGACTGAGAACAGCACCAATATTGGCAAGTCACTGGCTTGTTAATAACTGAGGATTTCAAATACTAGAATTTAATTAGAGTGTAACATTTGTATATAGAGAGCTCAAAACTCAAAAAGAAATAGTAATACTAAGTTGCTATTTCAGGGGCATATTTCATATATTACTCATAAGGCTGTAGTCTGAGGAGGAAGTTAGGGATTTTAATGAAAAGCAAATTGTGCTAAAAGGCACTGACTACTGTAAAAAGAACTGGAGTTTCAGGAAGAGCAGAAAACTAATGCTTATGTAAAATATTATTTTCCTTAGGTTCCAAAGACAGACAATCCTGTGGAATCACCTACTACTTCCCCTGACTCCAAAGAGGACACGGTAGATTCTGCACCTCAATCGAAAGGAACTAAGGTTAGACAATTACTTCTCACTTGATTAAGTTAAAAGTATAAAAAAGTGCTACATTAATTTTCTCTATTATTAATCCTCTTAATGAAACTGAATTTATTTCCTTATTAAGGAATATTTATTGTACTGTTTGATCTGTTTCTAAGAAAGTTTAACATCTGGGGCTGGGGGTGTAGCTCAGTAGTTGAGCGCTTGCCTAGAATGTGCAAGGCCCTGGGTTTGATCTCCAGCACTGACAAAAAAAAAAAAAAAAAAAAGTTCAACATTTGGTTATATGTAATTGGACTCCAGATTTTGCCTTTTGAATTCTATACCAGAATATGAAACAGTTATGGGCTGGGGATGTAGCTCAGTGGTAGAATGCTTGTTTAGCACGTGTAAGACCCTGGGTTCGATCCCCAGGACTGCCAAAAAAAAGAGAGAATATGAAATAGTTATTTCTGAATATGAAGTAGTTGTTCTTGGTAGTCATGAGAGTAGATCCACTATACATTTTTAAAAATATTTATTTTTTAGTTGTGTTGGACACAACACCTTTATTTTATTTATTTATTTTTATGTGGTGCTGAGGATTGAACTCAGGGCCTCTTACATGCTAGGTGAGCGCTTTACCGCTGAGCCACAACCCCAGCCCACTTTTTTTTTTTTTAAATTAAAATTTCCTTTTCTTTTCTATAATTTTTTCTGCTCCAGAGTTTATTGCTACATTTGAAAAGCTAGATAGAAGATACCACTTTCCATCTTTCTGATGAATGTTTAATTTATATTATAATGGCATTTTTAGTTTTAATATTATAATCCTTAATTGTAACCATTACTTTTGTTTTAAATCAGTAATCCAACTCTCAATTCTGATGTTTAAGGATGAAGAATTTACACAACTGCCATTAATACCATCATCACCCATAACATTATCAACACCTATTTCATTACCCATTATTTCTTCTAAAGAAGCTGTAAGTATCTAACAAGAAACAAAATAAGCAAACAAAAAACCTTTCCCTTTAGTTATCTCTAAGGGTAGTGAGAATCCATAATTATGACCATTGCAAAACACTGCACAATTCTTCCTGTCATCCAAACAGGAAGTTGTAGGCCGAACTTTAGTCATCTATATAAGAGTACTATATGTATTTTTTTTTAACCTCAATTATCCAAAAGTGAAAAAAATTACAAACCAATGCAATGGTGGACTAGACATAAACATGTTAAGTCTAGAAGCTAATTACAAAATAGGCGGATCCTTATTTTTTATGAACCAGATAGAATTAGTTTTCTGTATGTTATGTGTTTTACATAGGCTTCTGATGTTAGGAAACACTAGTAGGAAAGCAATTAAAATTTTAGGAGAAATGCCTGTAAATAAAAAATTACTTATCTAATCACTCTTCCCATTTGAGTGAAAGAATTTGGGGCAAGTGCAGAAAGCATGATATAAATAAACAGTAAGGGAAGTCATGAGAGAGTTAAATTGTGAAGTGGCCTTGAGGACCAAAGCTGCTCATAGGATACCTGTGAATATGACATTGAGAAAGTGATCCCCAAGGTACTTGGGGGCCTTGTTTGCCTGTCTTCTTCATTTTTATTACCAAAGTAAATTATAAACCCTCATTTGACTTTAGGAAAACAAGTCTGTCATTATTTTAGGAAAAGAGAAAAGGGACTCCTATAGAACTTACACATCTAATTACAACCATTGCCTGTGTTTTCTACCTAGACACTCCAGGCCAAATCACACAAGACATCCCAGAACAGCAAGGCTAATTCAAAAGGAGCCTAAGAACTACTTGAGGATGGAGCTCCCTCCCTCCAGCTATCAGCCCTCAGCAGTGGCACCCATGAAGGACCTCAGGCTAAGACAGTATCTGGTTTGAGACAGAGGATCAGCCATTTAGTCCTTGGAGCAGTCCTTTGGGGCCTTGTAACCATTCCAGATGATGTCAGCAGTGACACCAAGTTCAGGCCATTTAGAGAAATGTAATTGCAAAGTCCATTTCCTCTGTACCATTATGTCATCCCACTAAACTGTAAAGCCCACCCCCACCACCATGTATTGTTTTGAACAGTTTACTATTTGTGTGCATGTCTTTTAAGAAAGGAAATTGTTTTGCATAATGGAATTACCTTGGCACCTTGGATATCTTTGCCTCCTATGGTTTGGAGTCTGGAGTCAGAACTTGGAGACTTCAAAACCCATTTTAAGAGCACCTAAATCAACTTTTTCAGAATGATCTATCAGTAGGAACAGAAACAAAGTACCCTATGAGACAGGATGGTTATACTTCTCAGTAAGGTTTTTCTAAATATAAAGGGAAAGCTTCTTAGACTGGCAATCGAGACTTGGCTACTGCTTAACTGTTCTGAGGCATCCTCCTCCTGGGCTTGCAAAGGCTGTAGAAATCTGGGAGGTGGCCACTATTCTAGCACATATGGCTTCCATTAGCCACCATTTTGCTAAGAAACATAATTAAGGGTTTAACGCTTAACCATTTGTGCTGGGTGAGTGTTTTTTTTGTCAGTTTGTCTCTCACAAATAAGACTTTGTTAGTCATAGGGGTTGGTAAAGTCCAATACAATCCCTATGCTACTTAGTAACAAGTATAATGTTTAGTTATTTACATTTAGTGTTTTCACTATTATTAATGGTGAAACAACTGAACAGACAGTTATGCAGCTGACCAAGAGCTTTCTTCCTTTGGGGAATTGAGAAGGGAAAAGATATTTTAGCCTGTGAGTGATGAAATTAGATTACTTGCTATGAAACAAAACAGTTAGATGGAGTCAATTAAACCAAGTAAAATGCAGATCTGCCTCACCTGAAACCAGCTATATGAGAAACATCACCAGCATTTTATAGCAAGAGCATGCACTTTAAAATGCTTCCTAAACGTCTCCATCAGAGGACAAGTCCACCCTGTCCTACCAGTTAATTTCAGCTCCTTCAGGATGAAGAATCCCTACTATGCAATATAGGATTCCATGGATCTTGCTATTGGCAGAGCCAAGTGATTTCACAATAAATTTTCCCATTTTTAAGATGATGGGTGTTTATTTGAATTAGTCCACACTTCAGGTATGAAATATAGGAAATGAATAAGCTAACTTGCTCAGGTTTGATTCAGTTGAATGACTAGCATATACTGTTGGGCTGTATTAAAATTCTTTTCTGCCCTTCCCTGTGAGCTGATTGGGAATGGTTATATGAGGAGCCCTGTTCACTTTTGGCCTGTTGGCCTTCACATGTTTTTTTCTAACATCTGGGCATATAAGACACACTTCTCTTCCCACTCTTTTTTTTTTTTAATGTTTTTAGTTGTAGATGAACACTCAGTATCTATTTATTTTTATGTGGTGCTGAGGATTGAATCCAGTACCTCACACATGTGAGGCAAGTGCTTTACCACTGAGCTACAGCCCCAGCCCCCTCTTCTCACTCTTAAAAAGAGAGTAACTCATCCAAGAAAACTCAGGGATATTTCTTTATACTCATCACGTAGGGTGCTTGGCTTTTAGGTTCCACGATTGTTAGATTTAGCCCCATGCCAAACCTGGCTGGTGTTGCTCTGGCATGATTAACAACCAAATCTGAGGGGAACATTCCTCTGATTTGAAGCACTTGCAGGTTTCAGTGATGTAATTCTTCTATCATGGCTGATTTTAGGCCACCAATATGAAATCACTGAACAATGCAGAGTTGGGAAGAGATGTGCCCAACTGGCTTTTGAGAAAGCACACAACTGGCCCTAGGCCTCATAGAGTCACAGGAGACAGCTGAATTAGTTGACAACACAGGGTTTTTCAATGCATCACTTCTATGTGCCACAGCATGCATCTTGGAGGCAGAATGATACAGACAGTTCTGAATATTGCTAAAGTGTCAACCAGAGGGAACTTGCCTCAGACCAAGACTTCTTTACACCTGGGTTCTTGTTGATCTCTCCCCTTCCTGGCTTATCAGCTGAGGGAATGGAAGGCAATACAAGGTTGCTTCAAAGCCCTCTCCTTTCTATCTCACTCTTCTCTACTCTTCTCTGCAGATGCAGGTGCCTGTCTCTACCAGCTGCTAATGACCTCATGGATTTCTGGTATTCTCTAACATACAACCAGTGATGTTAGACTTGGCCTGTGTCTCACACAGAATTCTGCTGCGATACACAGGAGTTTGTGACCTTTATGGTCCTACCCTAGTGCCACATTTAATACTGTACTTTAATCACAAGTCATATTGGTGATATCCAATCAGTGTTCTGTAATGCTAAACCTAGGCTAAAGACTTCCCATTCACCACCAGTACACATTCACAGGTAAGGTCAGGCTAATGTTACTTCAAAGCAAACTGACGCATAACCTAATGGTGCGAATTTAGCTTGCTGGCGCCACCCAGTGGTGGCTGACAGACACAGTAACTTCATTAAGATAGATTTCTTGTTTCATTTCATGTTCAATCTTACTTACCTGAGATCAATACATTACATTAGCAGGGCCAAGGGAATGATGATCTTCAGCCTATGGCAATTAGGAAAGATGGAAAGGCAGTATTGATTAATGCTGTGGTGATCCCAGGCCCTAATCTTTTAACCCTCAGGAAACCAGACAGATTCAGCACTTTGACAGCACAATGTCTTCATTAGATAAACTGGATTCCCTTCCCCAAGAGAACCAATCTGGTCATCTAAGTAAAATGGCCATTTCATTTTCTCTCAGGTCAATTTCACTATCTTTTATTTGACAGCCAACCCAGCCTCTGGGGAAATTTGTGGGTGATTGTGAGTAGTAATATCAAGGACATCACTGTTATAATAATAGTGCCTTATATTTCTCTAGCACCTCTCCTACAGGCAGGCATATAAAGCCCTTTATAGAGCCTCCATCCACTCAAACAAAATCATATCAAGGTAGGGCCAAGGCAGAAATTATCACCACTACAAGGAAAGACACTACTATATGGTCTCAAAGCACATGATTTTAAGAGCTAAAATTCATTTCCTGGTTCCGTTCACTAAATTATGCCTTCTTTAAACATAAACACAAATGGCAATATGCCAACAATTGCATATTTACAGAGAAAAACAAAGACAGGAAATTGTACAATGGTTACCAACACTGCTGCTGCCAAAATATGCCCAGCTCAGAAAGGAAATTTAAAGCAGCAATCCCATTTCCCCTACAGAAATGCTGACCATTTTTGTTTCAGCAGTAGCCCAGCAGAAAGCAAGCTTAAAGGACAGGCTGAGTAGGTACTAGGTTGAACAATAAGGTACACAAGAGCCAGAATCCACTTGGTGAGGACAGTGACAACCAGCAGGTGGCAGAAGCTTTCAAGCAGCCAAAAACCAAAACATTTAGAGAATTTTTTCCCCCTTTCCTGAGGGACGAGGTGGAGTTTGGAGGTGGAGTTTGTAGAGGAAGAACTATAGGAAGCCAAGATCTGTGATAGACCCAACAAATGCAGTCTGGTCATACACATACAGAAGAATGGTTTGGGGGACAATAATGAACAGAGGAGTCTGGAAAAGATAAAGCAAGGGACCTGAATGTTGAAGTACATGACAAATTTTCCTTCACTCAGAGGCACAGGCCAAGCCACACCCACATCCTGGGTGTTGGGGGAGCTGCCTATCTGGGCCTGAGTCTTAGCAGACCCTTCTGAAGGATCCTTAGCTTTCCTCTCAGTCACTGTAGATTTTACCCCTTGGCTGTTCCAAGGCCCTCTCTCTGTGGCCCCTTCCCTGCTTCCTCTGAGGAAACAATCTGTGGTTGTGGGCTGCTCAGTCTTGGCTCTCTGTCCAGGACCTCTGGGGCACAGTTCCTGCCAAGATGCAGACATCTTCTTTTCCTGCCTTTCCAAAAGCATGGGAGAGGTAGGAGGTTTGTTCTGGAGGTCTGGGTGCACGACCTAGGAGGAAGAGGTTACAAGGAAACTGCAGGGAACATGGTGCCTGCTGGACAGACAGCCCCGGGGCCCTCAGTCTCCCTCCTTTCCTGTGTTCAGTTGCTCCCTTTTCACACAGCCCATATAAAAATGAAGCAGCAGCAAATTTTATTGAGGGACCTAAACTGAAAATAGGTTTAGAACATAATTTAAAAAAATAAAACAGCAAAAGTAGCAAAAAATATATGACCTTTTTAAAAACATTTTCCTTTTTTTTTTCTTTTTCTTTTTTTTCTTTTTTTTTTTTAATATATAGCAACTGATGTCTCCCAACCACCAGGAGCATCTTACCCAATGGGTAAATCTCTGGTAACGACCCTTTTAAAAAGACATGTAAATATATACTCAGATTTATACACTTTGTGTTTTCTTCGTAGCTATGTACAAAGCCCCCAGTTCAGGGCTGGGCCCCAGGGCCACATCACTGCTCCCAGTCTTTGCCTCATCATCCTCTGGTACCAGGTATTTGGTCAGCAAAGCAAATTATTATTGGAATTAATAAGCCACTGGCACCATCCATCTGGAGCAGAGGTCACCTTCAATTGAGGCCGAAGCACTGAGCTCCCTACAGCTGTAGCCCTGAGGACAAGGCACCTGCCACCAGAATGCAAGGGGCTGACAGGTTAAGGTGAAACAGACAATACCAATACTAGAAAGCTCAGTAAAGCTCTCACTTGCATGCCTGCTCACTACCCACTCCCCGACCTTCCAGGCAGTGCTGGGTGACAGGGAAGGGTCTTGGTCCAACACCTGGGAGGGAACAAAGTGGCCACCAGCAAGTACCTGCCTCTTTACTCCTCTCTCTCACAAGCAGGTTGAGAGGAAGAGGAGGAAGAGAGAGAGCTCAGTGGGTGCAGGCAGGCCACACAGGAAGGCCTCAAGTAGGCAGCTGGCTCCTGCCAGCAGAAAAGGGGTGGGGAAAGGCAGTGAGTCCAGGGAGCTGTGGGTGAGGGACACAGTTGATGATGGAGGTTGGGGAAGGAGGAGGGTGGCAGTCAGCGTCGTTTGAGTCCACCATTGGCAAGTTGGGTAGGGTGTCGGGGCAGACAGGGCTCCTCAGGCAACGGCTCATGAGAGAAGACGGAATCCTCCCCCGAGGAGCAGGTAGAGCTTCGGGTGTCAGGAAAGCTGGGAGAGTACTGGTCTAGGGGCATTGACAGATCCAGATACTCCTGTGATAGGTGAGAGAGAATGATGGTAGGGCATGCCCCTCCGTGCAGCAGGGTTTGCCACACATACCCATATGATGATGGCCTGAGGGCCGCCAGTCTTACCTGGTTGGAGGTCAAGGCCACAATGCGGTCCAGGTCTTCCACCAGCTGCTTGAAGGTAGGTCTCTGAGAGGGCACCGCATGCCAGCAGTCCCGCATCATCATGTACCTGTGCAAGATTGTGAGGTCAGGTAGGAAGGACAGAAGTAGAGAGATGCGTCAGAGGCCTTAGGGGAAGGATGGCTAGGAGGGGTTACTTCTCTAGATGAACACCCCTCTCCCTCTGCCATCAAGTCCATTCTTCCCCCCAGGGCTTGGCTGAGGAATCTTCTCAAGCTTACAGCTCGTTGGTGCAGTTACTGGGTTTGTCCATTCGATGACCTTCCTTCAGCAGCTTGAAAAGCTCCTCCACAGGCACACCAGGATACGGGGAACCACCCAGAGTGAAGATTTCCCACAGGAGCACCCCAAAAGACCACCTGCAGATGAGCACAGAGCCACTGCGTCTCAGGGAACAGAGTTGGGTTTTCCTGTCTCCCTTTCAGAAGCCAGCATTGCAAGTACCCATCCCAAACCTCCCCCTGTCCCAACACAACTCTTAACTCCAAGGGGAATACAAGGAGAAGACTGGTGCTCTCAACATATAGGGACAAAGCTAGTGGATAAAATAATGTTGGTGTCGTCTCTCCAACACAGGAGACTCTCATCAATCCAGGGGGCATCAGGACTCCCACACTCAGAACCCCTGGCGATTGCTTATTCAAACTCACACATCACTCTGATGGGTGTAGATCCGGTCAAACAGTGCCTCAGGAGCCATCCACTTAACAGGTAGCCGGCCCTGTGAGCAGCATGAGAAGATTGGGGATAGCCCAGGGCAGGGAGGGCACAGG